CACAAAGTAAAATGAATTATCAATTGAGCAACAGTTTGAAATGGACAAGTTAAAAGGTGTTATATGTACTCCACAAAATCAACTCTGATGGTGCTTATGTATCTTTCAATGTATGAATCAATCCTGTAGTTAAAGCATTGAAAAACAAAACAATATTGAGATTTGTGTACTGTTATCCAAACAAACAACATGAAAAACAAAGCATTAAGGTTATAGTCACCAAACACTGTACTTAGATAACTAACAAATTGTGGCAAAACTTCAATCATCCAAATTAATACAAACACTTGAAGGTCCCACTTCAGCTTGAGAGGGTTATCTCTACAAAAATAAAATAAAATATTTCATAATTTTTTAACACTTAAAATATAAAAATTAAAAAGTATATAAATTTGTCATATCATCTAACCTTGCTCAAATTATCATTGTTTCTTAGGATCCTCATCAAAAGTTATAGAGAACGGGTTCCTTTTAAACCAATCTTGTGTGCAAACAAGCACTTCCCACATATTTTAGGCGTTAGGAAATACGAAAGGAATAACCCTCTTTCCTCCTGTCTAAATGCACACTCTGATGCTACGGGTTTAGAGGATAAGAAGGCTAAACACCTCTAGGCCATGTTCGCAAGGATAGGAAATCTAGTCGAGTTGATTTCCACCAATGTAAAATATCAAGCTCAACTGACTTCATATAAGGTTCGGATTCCTCTCTCGAGTATTTTCAAGCTCTGATATACTAATCAAATCTAAGTCCTGTAGATCTTAGGGTAGAAAAAACTCCTGCCATGCGGATCTCAGCATCTATCATAAGTTGATCCCCCTCGATTAGTGTTGGCGCCAACCTACCGACGAACCCTCCTCAATACCTGGATATTGTTCGATAGTGTTTTTAAAATGACAATAATTTTGATTTCAATTCACTTCGACATACTAGAGTCAAAGACCCCCGGTAGCAATGAAGTAATAACAAAATCCAACTTATTCCAGGGTCAAGCACAAAACAATCACTATAAGATATTAATTCAATAGGATTTCCCCAAGATTTTTTCATACTAGTCCCTTCCTCCTCAGTGCCATCAATTTTATGCTAACATCATCTACTCTCAGAAGATGTGGTCTTAACCAATTCCAAACCACCTCCTTCCTATACAATTGACTCGTGACATAAGATTGAACCAGGAAATGCGTAGGGTGTTAGAGTAATAAAAATCTTTTAAAAATGGTCTTAGATAGACACCTCGCATATTCCCAATCTTCTTGCTAAGTGGCACACCACCATTACTTTTGGCCATTTCAAACACCAAATCTTATCTTTGCATATCTAGAAGACAAAGGCCATCTTTGTACTTCAAGCTTGCCTCTAACATTAAGTAAGTTAAGTCCACTGGTTTAAACAGCAAGACACAAAATACCTTGTAAGAAATTCCCTCTTGTTCAACACATGCCTTGGAATCTAGCAAATCTAGCAGGAAGAAGATTTCAATATTTAACGCACTCCGGATTTTGAAAATTGAATCTTTATCTTTTTAAGCCATCCTTGCACAATCAAACTTAATATATGGCACAACAATGCATATGAACATATTCTCCTTTAAAACAAGGACAATTTCCATGATAACATCGTTCTTTAAGGTACTGGACCCCCAACATCATTTGTTGTAGCATTATCTACGGTGATACCAAGAACTCGCTTCAACTCCCAATTATTCAAACAAGCCTCAACATGTTGAGCAATGAGCTCCCCTGAGTCCAGTTGTTGAGAAAATTCAAAATTTTCTTTTGAAGTTTCCAATCATTATCAATAAAATGGAGCTGTTAAACTCATGTAATTTAGGTTTGGATTGATGTCCATTGTGTCTGTAGTTAACAAACCCTCTCACACTGATTTGATAGAAACATTTTCAAACGTTGCTTTTTCCTCTTAATAGAGTTCAATATTTCACGCCTAATGTAGGGCGGGATGGGACTTCAAATTTTTTTTTTCGTGGTTGCAAGGACCATACAAAAGTGCACGGAAGTCCTCATTTTCCACAAATCGAAAAGGAAGCTCAGACTTCACAAACATCTTGACCAACTTCATTCGAGATGCATTTTGGTCAAATTTAGAAATAGTTGGTGAAAGGCTAACACTAACTTCTGTACTTGATGATAAAAGCTTTTTCCTTTGAATGCTTCTCTATTAGGATTTTCTTTACATCTCGCCAAATTGATTCCTTATCCCACTGTTCCAGCCAAAATTTAATCAAATCACCACAAATAATTGCATTTGGCCGTCTTCTCAGAATATTGTTTTTTTTAGTAAAATGTCCCCACACATTTGATCGACCTTACTATTCTCAGTGACGATGAATCGAAAAGGAGGTAAATATCCATTCCAAAAGTATTTGGGTGAGGGTTTCTACTGTTTCGACATTCACGTCACTACATTAATTAAGAGTTCAATCAAAACAAACGGCAAATTTATCTAATGATATGATATAGGGGTCTGAAAACAAATTCAAAAATCACGTCACTACATTGATGAAAGTGTTGTGATAAACTCTAAAAGAAATTTAGAGTTTATAAATATAAAATATAAGTGATTCACATAGTAACTATTAAGATGCATTCCTTGTTGTCGTGAAATAATAACATCTGTCGTGTTAATCCAAACAAGGGGAAGAAGGAGGTAAGACAAGGGGGGAAAACAAAAACAGGGGGGGGTGGGGAATTTTTATTTTTGGAAAACAAAAAAGATGGCCAACGATCAAGGTTCAAAATATAATTGGTTCAAGAATATAATAGCCACAAGATACTCCCCTTGTGTGTGAGTACAGAACTATTATTTGCTTAATCTAACAAGGGGGAGGAAGGGAGTAAGACAACATATGAAAAAACTATAAGAGGCATAATGATTCATAATCAAAATACATTGGTTCAAGAAGATAATAGCCATTAAGATCCATCCCTGCGGTAGTGGACTACATAATATTCTGTTTTAAGGAAAAATGAGGACTCAACTTCCAAAAGAAATAAAGGATTATTGGACAGATTATTGGAAGGATATTGGAAAGGGTTTAGGAGGTTTAGGGTTTTAGGATTATTGGAAGGCTTATGACCACGTATCTAGAGAGGAACCACGACAAGCACATTTACACCACAAAGCAATGCACACGTACTGCACGGGAAGCAAGAAGGGAAGATTGCTTGATATCTTTCCGATCACTGAGCTTTGCAGAAAAAGAAAAAAATAAATAATATTTTACTCATTACAAGGGAACTACGTAGGTATATCAATTAAATATGTTCTATAAATGATTAAAATAAAAAACAAATATTCTAAAATAAAAATTTTACTGAGGAGCAAAAATAGTAAAGGAGAGATGGAGGAAGAAGGCGTGTGGTGGTGGAGGGAGCAAATCCTATGTTTGATTAGACTTAACAGTTTTTCTTACTCAAGCTTATAGTGTTGTGTAACTTCATTGTACTATTTGTGCAAAGTTTTCAATCTGATTCATACTTTTAAAAACAAGTTAAGAAAGTTTTTATTATTATTTCTCAAATTGAAATGACAACGTTAATATAATAACAAGTGACATATGTCATAATCTTAATAATGATGTGTTATTTGCTCTTAACACCATATGTTACTGTGATAATATCTTTACCATTAATATGGTAAATTTGATTAGAGGAATTTGTTGAATCATTTTTATCAAAATTGTGAAAAAAAAAGTTGAATAAAATATGATAACAGCATAAAAAGAATTATTAGGACTTTTAATTACTAAATATATATAATATACGTTTTTGTCTCCAACCTTAATGGATTTAGTTAATAAAATTACAATATATGTTCATCGTTATTGTTAGTTTATAAACTCAATGCTTCAGTACTATACAAAAAATTATATTCCAATAAATTTTAGACTGAACTAAAGAGATAGAAATTTCGGTGTTCAATTAAAATTTTAAGTTAGATTGATTTTTATTAAACAAGAAATGTGATTTTTTTTTTTTCATTTTAGCTGGCGAACCTGCCAATATGGCCTCATGTGGAGTGGGTCAAGGTTTATATATCCATCATTAATTGGTCGGTTAACCTATTTTTAGTGAATTGATATGTGGAGTTGACTGTTTTGTCATCTTAAGATAAAATTCATTAAAATACAAAAATAATATTTTTAAGAATTGTGATTTCAGTTTCACACACATTAAGAAAAAAATTGCTCTTAAGATAATTTGTTGGACACCATTTCACTAAATTAGTTTTACGTTTCGGGATAATGTTTTTTTTAATAATAACCTTAAGTTAATTAATATGAAAAAAAGAAAAATGAGTCAGTTTAACAAAATGAGAAAATGTAATAACACCTAAATATATACTAAATAAAAAAAAAAAACTGAATGAGTAAATTGCTGGTGAGTCTAAAATGTTAGGAAAATGAATATATTTGTATATCGAGATTGACCCTTAAATTTTCAAGAATTATATAAATGATAACCGTTTGGAGGGAAAAGTGTGGTTGGTTAGGTCATGAATGGATGAATAGTATTGCAGACGTTGAATAATGAGATATTATAGAGAAAATGGATCTTATCTATGAAGTTGTGGATAGCTAGAGATGTATACTAAAATGCAAGTTGAGTCCCACGTCGAAGGTAAGCTAATCGACCTCCACTCGAATGTCTGCCATCATGTGTGGGACCAGAAACCACTGGTGTTCATTGTTTAGAGGCCTAATTTCGCGTCACCATTCAATGCAACTCCCCAATAAAGAGAGAAAGACGATGCAAACTCCATGACGGTGCCTCTTTCTTACATGATTTCATGTTGCCACTGCTTCAAGCACATATACTATACCAAATCCTAAAGAGATCAAAATGTAGGTGGGGTCGTTATTCCAATTAATTAACAAACCCGTGATATACAAACAAAAAAGCACACTAATTTGTGCGTTGTATATTCATCCATATTTTATATCACATTGCATACCTCTTACTTTTCTACTCTTTTCTCAGAAACTTCTTCCTCAGACTCCTCCAATCTCTTCAACATCGATCCTTCTCAAGGTCTGCTAACCAAATACTTACTAATTGGAACAGTCACCAACTTCGTTTCTAACAACAAATATTGTACTATTTTTATGTTAGGTAGTGCAGGAAATTCAAGAGCATATGGAAAGTGACCAGGTGACAACCAAGGACGTGAGAGTTCAAATGCCACCATCTAGGAGTGAGGTCATGTCAGGTGCTGTGGTGGAGCTTCAAGGCGCTTCTAATTTGGGACAAGGTGGCCTTCAGAGACAACCTAGCATGACCAAGACCAATTGTCTATGTTCTCCAACCACACATGCCGGTTCCTTTCGTTGCAGACTTCACCGCACCCCTAGTCTTCAGAGGACCAAAAGCATGGAATCAGAGGCATCCACGGTTCATGCTTCCATCGTTCATTCTGTTGCTGATCCCAACAAGGATACACTTCATTGACTGCTAAATATTATTAAGCTGTTATATATACATAGTAACTTGTCTTTGTTCACTTGAGTTGTGTATTTTGCTACGCTATCTATTTATGATCGCCAAATGTAAACATGTTTGTCATGGAAATGTATAATTTTACTCTATTTGAATGTCATGTAAACAATTTGGGATCATTTTCATTCATGTTTCCATGTCCTTTCAAGTTTATGCTATTCTTCTTAGTTGAAATGCCCTTTGTCAGTGACCTTTTCTTACTTTAATCATCAAGTTTAGACTTTAGACGTTTAGGGAGTGCAGTAACTGAAGATAATTTGAATTCTGTCATTTCTCTTGTCTTTGTGGTATTTATAAAACATGACATAGCCTTGTCAAGATCCACACGCTTCGCTAATGCGATGACTATACAGGGGATGGTTTCAAGGCTTGGTATAGTTTCTCAAATTGTCTTGATCAACAAGAATCACTTTATTGATTCAGAAACTGAAATTTTGCTAAGGACAAACTTTGTGTAGTTGATTAAATGGTTTCATGCCATTTGTAATTAAAATTGAAGTTTCTTTTTCCCTCAACAATTAGTACTGATTTTTATAGTGGTAAAATTGAAAGTTTAATAAAAAAAAATAATGTTAAAAAACATACAAGGATTGTACATGTACGTTTTTCTGCAAATTTTCTTCCGTCTCTGATATGCTTTATAATGTACTCCAGTTCCCGGTGAATCTTTATATTGCAAAATCACAGGTTAATGACGTTATGAACACAATTAAAAATCCTTAAACAAGTTTTTGCCTGAGATCGTGATGATATATAACTAAATCTTATTGAAAATTGAGTTATAACTACATAGTAGATACAACATTGTGAATCAATGAAACAACCACAAACAAACATATATATTAACACCCTTAAATTGTCACTTGATGTTGATTAATGTAGCAACCAGTAAAATATTCAATTGCTTGTACAGACAGACACCAATGATGCTGAGGTGTGTTATTTGGGAAGTATATTATTTGGGGAAACATGTTTAGAAGCAATCTTACACGTCGTTTAATTCCTTGAACAAACTTGATCTGTTTCTCTAAACTCAGAATTAGGTGGGCACATTCTTACTTCTTGATATATGACTAGCTAGTAGTTTGAAGCAGGGAAGAAGCAAAGAAAATGAAAAGGAATGCATGAAACATTAACGGGTGAAGTAAGTTGTACCAAAATATTTTGTTAATGCTAATGATAGGTAGTAGTAGTGTCAGTCATTGGTGTCAGGAATATTCATGTAGGCATGCTCTTAAAATAGTTAGTCAAGGTCAAAGAAACTATGATGAGTAGTGATCATGATTGCAACAATGATGATGACCACCACAAGCAGTCCGCCACTAAATGATTCTCACATGCTTTATGACTTTTTTTGAAACTAAAAAATTATAATTCTTTGATCGCCTCCAAAACAGTGAGAGGTCCATCTCAGTTTCTGAGATTGAATTGAACTAAGTGGTTAGTTCTCTAGGGACACAACTCATCCCATCAATCCTACAAAATCCAAATTACTCATAATTACAAATCTGAGAATAAAGGAGGTTGAAAGTGACTTCCATCAAAACCATCTACAGCAACTTAGAAGTCAACTCAGTAGGTGATGCTAAAGAAGTCTATCAAAAAAATTGTTAGACATATTTCTGAGTTATGGTGAAAAGGTTTCGCTTTAAGTGGAATACCCTTCGTCTACTCTAGTTGATTTTTTGCTTAGAATAGTAAATGTGGATACACGGAGGTTTATGTAGGGATGGAACAAAGCTGAGTCATGAGTATTAAACACACCAAGTGATTTTTGTTTTTAGTTCAACAGTTGTCGTTGTTTCAATAATACCTTTTGGAAGTAAACATATCTTAGCGATGCTGGATCTTATTCTTTCTTGTTTATCTGTGCTACTTTTTGGTCGGCTATACATTGCACATCATTTTGTTAATCATGCTAACACACTAGATTGTTCCAGCGCACGATACATTAATGACAAATCTGTGCTCACAAAACACCAAATGTCGACCCTTAATTATTTCCCACAACTCCTGTCCATGATACTCTACGATATCAATTCAATAAGGACGACATTATCCGCGTGGATACAAATATATGTGAGGAACATAATCTGATATTACAGTATTAATTGCTTTTTTTCAGATGCTTCAAAATGCCGATAATTATTTTTTTCAAAACAATCAGGACACTTTGAAGTGAACCTTCAAAATGAACACGGCCACGTGTTACAGATTCGTGGAGAGACACGGCACCATTGGCCCTACAATTCGTCACTAACACCAAAGATTCCTCATCCAGTTTTCACAAATGTGATCTACCAAAGAGATTTCCCCTCATGTGAAAATTCTCATTTCTTATTATTATAGGTTACACGAACAATGCACATTTGGATTCGCTGATTTTCCCTACATGTTATAACTTACAGGACCTTATGCAAAAGAGAAAAATATAGTATATGTTACCCCCTAAATTTCCCATCCCCATCATGAAAAATCGAAAAAATTTACTCAATTCTTTTCGGTGGCAGTTCTGTTGGTAGCCCACAACTTGCTAAACATGCGTTTGGGCTGAGTAGGAAGAGCAAGTAGACCCTTAAATCTAGAAGTTCTCCCAATTTCATCACGAGGCACAACATTTGCATCCAAGTCATCCTCAGCTAGCTTCATTCTGAGAGTTGGGTTCTTTGTTGACTTTGGTGACTTGAATCCAGAAACACTCCAATTGTCATCAGCATGTATACTTGTTGTGGTGCTCAATGGTGCTGTGTGTTTTGATGGGTCAATGCCATGAGCGGTGAGTAATGCCTTGATGTTGCTTGGCATGTCAGTCACTTTGCCACCAGCTGCTGCTGCTCGTGCTTGCTCAAAGAAGAGAACTTGGACAACCACCCTTAGGGGAAGTAGCTCATTCTGTGCTGCATGCATGCAAGCTTCCATAGACAACTTTTTGCAGTCTAGAATTCGACATAGTCTCTTCCTTTCGTTCTTATTCAGCTCTGGATGTGCCTAAATTTTCCAATTAAGCAAAATAGAGATTTNTGGCAGTTATAATCTATCTCTACGAACTCAGACCAGTTCGCTATATAAGGTTGTTCCAAAACTTTTAGAAAGAACACTGAGCTTTTTGAGAATACAGTTTGTCTGAGGAAGTTCCAAAAAGCTAGTTCATTGCATTGCCTGGTCTCATGAATAGGAGAAGCTCGTGCTTTATGGATCTAAGGTTGGAGCGGTTCTCTTCGAGTTGGTAAAGCTGCTGCTCTTCCAGTTCGTTGGTCGAAGGAAGACTGTTTCAGCACTGTTCCGGTTCGTTGGTCGAAGGAGAGTGCAGATTGATTGTTTCCGGTTCGTTGGTCGAAGGAAGCATACTTCTCATTCGTTCGTCGAAGGAAGGTTTTATCTTACTGTTCATTTACCATATTGTAAATATGTGAATTTATTTTTTAGTGAAAACGTTAATCCCTTCTCATAGTGATTAACAACTGTACATAGATTCTTTTGAATCGAACCAGGATAAAAATTGTGTTGAATTGTCTTGCTCTCTATACTCTTTACATTTTGCGCATATCAACTGTTTGATAAATTTTCTCTAAGAAAATTATTTTCTAAAACTGACCATCTTAAAACAAGTTTGATCGAACACGCTTTCCGCTTTCGTATTTTATTCCGCTGCGCGACTCTATAATGATACCAATTGTTCCGACATGGATTAGAGTTAGCTTTTGGCTAAAGTTTATACATGTAGGAATGTTTCATCGTACACTTCCAACATCTTATTCTGCACCTCCAAAAATTCCATTTTTAACCTTCTAACATCTCATCCTTATCCTTATATTGCACCTCCAACTTTTTCAAAAATTTAATTTTTAACTTTAATAAATATCTTTTCACTTTTTTTCTTTTTCTTATTAAAAACACTCTGCACCATCTTAATAATAATTAAATTTAAAATTCAAATATTATTTAATTATATTAAAATATTAAATTAAATTAAATAATTATTAAAATTTAAATAAAAAATAAAATTTTAAAAACAATTATTCATCGGATATGAATATCCGTAGGATAACTTATTGGATGTCTATATCCGATAAACAAATTTTTCAAAATTTGGTTATTGTTTAAACTTTAATAATTATTAATTTTAATTTAATATTTTAATTTATTTAATATATTTAAATGTATTTAATGTGATTTTAAATATTATTTTTATTTTCATTATTATTATTCTTATTTTAATTATTACTATTTTAATTTTTTTAATAAAACTATTATAAAAATATAAATCATATTTTAATAATTATTAAAATATAAATATAATAAATAGTATTATAATTTTTATTTAAATTCAATATTTATTAAATTTTAAATAAAAAGAAAAAGTGTTAACTTATTTTACGGATTTTAAACAAGTTTTTAAAATTTGGTTTTTATTTAAAATTTAATAATTATTTAATTTATTTTAATATAATTTTATATATTTTAATATATTAAATCAATTTTATTATTATGATTATTTATTATTATTATTATGGTTAAATATGTTTTTAGTCCCTTAACTATCAAGCTATTTTGTTTTTCGTTCCTATTTCAGACTTTGTACGTTTTGATCCCTCTCCTTAAGGTAACCATAATTTTTGATCCTCCAAAATAAACGACATTAAAAATCAGCTGAGGTGGATAACGTTTGGCCACGCTGGAAACTTTGAAACTCTCTCTCTGCAACATTTAATATTTTTTAATGCAAAATCACTGGTCACACACTTTGAAACTCTCTCTCTATCGCCGGCGACGTTTGTTACTGCTAGGAAGCCATTGGAGTTTCCCTTCCTTTTCTTCTAATCATTAGGGTTTCTTTCTTCTTTTTCAATCTCTTCATCAGGAACCATAAAGGCACCATCACTGTCCACTCCAACCAGATTTGCCGCCACGGGTGGCATATGGAGCCATCGGGGTGTCGTCAACGCCAATGTCTCCTTCTTCGATCGGTCCGCACCGACCGTCGCAGCTTCAAGCTTCAATCCCAAAACACAAAACAGAATATATAAGCTTCAGGCTAATTATGTGTTAGGTGAAAATCCTACGAAGATGAGCTATCTTTGTGGGCTATGGAACTCAACCCCAATTACGTACATCACAGGATCTTCTGTTCCTGCTAATGGTAAACTGATTGCAAGGATGGATTCAAGTGGTTTCACTCACCTTACCCCAATCCTAATGTGGCATTTGAAGCACTAGAGTTGGTGGTCCTTTCCTTAATGAAACATACAATGATTTCAGAAACAACTCTATGCAAAATGAACCAAGAACGTACAACAGTGCCCTCTTTGTTGCTTTCTTATCTGGTTTGGTTGCAACTCCCACTGTACCACTCTCCTTCTATAACTACTATCATTCAAATTTGTTGTGCCATATGTAAATAACCCCTTTCTGTATTACCTTCTTAGATAGCAATAATTTTTTAGTAAACCCTTCCAACAGTTTTGCTTTATTTGGCATCAACACTGTTCCAAAAAACTTTTACTTGAGTAAGATTTTTTTTTTCAATTTTATTGGAGTTTAAATCTCAGTAACCAATGCCATTGTTAGCCAAATTCAAAGGAACCGTGGCCACAGGCATGTAAAATGATGGGTAATCTGCTTAATAGATCAGATTAGAGTGGAAAAGAATAATACCAAATGCCCCAGAAGAACGGTAGGAAGAAGAACGGTAGGAATAACAAACGTAAGAAGTCCAGCTTCTAGCTTGCCATAGTAGAGTCCTGTTTAAAGAACACAGGATTACTTTCAAGAATCAAGAGAATGCTTCTTTTTCAATTTGATATGTAATGAGGAAAGATAAGTTAGATGACGCATTACCTTCCTTGAAGACAAGTCTTGTAAGGGCAGCAAAAAGAGGACCGACAAACCAGATAGCACATGGGTTGTCGTCGGCCATAGCCCGAGTCAGTGGAGGTGTGTTGACGTTGTGTGTGACCACTGACTTTGCATTAAAAATATTAAATGTTGTAGAGAGAGAGTTTCAAAGTTTTCAGCATGGTCAAACGTTATCCACCTCACCTGACTTTTAACGCCGTTTATTTTTTAGGATCAAAAATTATGGTTTCCTTAAGGAGAGAGATCAAAACGTACAAAGTTTGAAATAGGGACGAAAAACAAAATCGCTTGATAGTTGAGAAACTAAAAACATATTTAACCCTTATTATTATTAATATTATTTTTATTATTTTATTTTCTGTTTTTAATGTAATTATTATTATAATATAAATCATATTTTAATAATTATTAAAATAATAAAATTATATTAATAGTATTTAAATTTTAAATTAAATTAAATTATTATTAAAGTAATGAAGATTGTTTTTAATAAGAAAGAGAAAAAAATGAAAAAGTATTTATTAAAGTTAAAAATAATAGTTTTAGAAAAGTTAGAGGTGTAGGATGAAATTGTTAAAAGGTTAAAAATGTAATTTTTGAAAGTGTAACGCGATATTTGTGGTGTAGGATGAAAGACTTAGACATAATCATAAGAAGTGATCTTTGTAAAACACACAACCATGAAAATCACGAGGCACTATTTTTTATAATAAACTGAGGGAAACGAGTAACTTAAAGACAAGACAATTTGTAGGATAAATGCATATCAGATACTAGTGTAAGTGTCTACTATAGCCCATCTGACTTCGTCCCAATAATGGAGCTATTTTCATTTACTTCCTCAACAGCAATAGTGTGTCTGGTGAGCGTGATCGTTGGTGTGATTCCGTTATGGGCAGTGAAGATGGTGTACACGCTGTGGCATAGGCCTAAGAGGTTCGAGAAACTTCTGAGAGCACAAGGTCTTCGTGGTGACCCATACTCCCTTTCACTTTTCACCTCCAACCAAAACCCTGCTCCACAAAACAACCCTCAATCGCAATCTTTTATTGTCTCCGACGATGTTGCTCCTCGCTTGTCCTTGGGGCCTAACAACACTGTTGCCAAATCGGTTTACTTTTCCTACCTCCTCAAAAAATTGTACTATACATAAATTTAGTCACAGAGTTGGGCATGAAATGATGTTTTTCGGTGATTCTTCCTGCATCATTCATGTTCTTGCTACAACATTTTTTTTTATTTTAGTTTTTTAAAATTTCTAAAACAAAACCAAGATATTCCTCCTTTAAATTTATTAGTTATACCATTATTCTCCTAAAATAAATTTTTGGATCTTAAGTTGTTAAAGCAAAGCCGTTTTAGCAATTGCTGATAAGTGAATTATGTGCAGGCAAGAATTCGTTTTTTTGGGAAGGCACAACACCAAAGGTCATCATCACTGATCCAAATCAAATCAAAGAAGTCTTCAATAACATTCATGATTTCCAGAACAAAAGATAACTGGCATTGCCAGTTCTTGTTCAGTGTCTGATAAATTCCGAGGGTGATAAGTGGGCTCAACATAGAAATTATCAACCCTGCATTCCACTTGGAAAATTTGAAAGTAATTTTATTACTTTAATTAATAAATAAACAATCTTTTTCACAGCATTACCTAATTATTAATCGAGATGTACAAAAAGTATGTATACTTTTATAATGAATTTAACCAGTATCCTTGTTGTTTGATATGAAACTTTTGAGATAAAATATTGTTCTCTTTTAAAATATTTGCAGAACATGTACCAGCATTTTCCCAAAGTTGCCATGATTGTTAGCGAGTGGAAGGAATGTTGTCATCAGATGGAAAATGTGAGATTGATGTTTCCCGCCTTTCATTCAGAATTTGACTCGTGATGTAATTTCTAGAACGGCTTTCGGAAGCAGCTATGCAGAAGGAAAAAAGATATTTCAGCTTTCTCAGAATTCAGGGGTACCTTGTCATGACTGCAAAGTACTATAACACACAATATTGCGGTAATACCACATTGATTCGTTGTAAAATGTGATTACTAATTATGCATGTTTAGTTTTATTGAAACTCAACTCACCATGAAGTTCTTCGAACCTTAGAGAATCACCCTAAAGCTAGACACTGTAGACAGAGATTAAGCTCTCCATACACCAAATCACTGCTATAGTGATGATGACAATAATTATGAATTACATACAGATTTTGATCTAAGGAATATTTGATATATGTTTCAAAAATCTTTGAAATTAAAGAATGAGGCATACCTGACTTATACAAGAACCAATAATGTTACTTCTAAAATTGACCTTTATTAATTCAACATGTTTTCTAGCATTTACCGACACCTACCAAAATGAAGCGAGAGCAGTTGATAAAGAAATGAAAAATTCAATTGGGAATATCATAAAAAAACGAGAGAAAGCCATGAAGAAGGGTGAATCCAACAATAAAGATTTATTACATGCTTTTAGATCAAATCAAATGGAAATCCAGGGAAATGGAAACGTAAGAGTGTTGGAATGACTATTGAAGAAGTAATTGTGAGTGCAAGTTTCTACCTAGCAGGGCAAGAAACAGACTTCATCTTTGCTGGTTTGGACATTGATCATGTTGAGTAGGTATCCTGAATGGCAAATCGAGCAAGGGAGGAATTGTCTTCATGTTTTTGGAAAACAAAATCCAACATTGATGGGTTAAGTCAGCTCAAAACTGTATGTATCACATGATTTCATTTATTATCTTTATTAAAAATGAATTTCATGCTAACATGTGCCAAAATGTTTCTTCCTAGATGACCATGATTTCTGTAGAATTTGAGGTTATTCCCTCCCCTTGTTTTACTACATCGCAGACTCCGAAGGATATGAAACTTGGAAACCTTCACTACCTGCAGGAGTAAATGTTAGCTTGCCAATTTTTTTACTTCACCAGGATGTTGATATATGGGTAATGATGCAATGGAGTTCAAACCAGAAAGATTCTCTGAAGGGGTTGTAAAGCAACAAAAGGCCAAGTTGTATTTTTACCCATTTGGATGGGGTCCTAGAATTTGCATTGGCCAAAACTTTGCCTTGTTGGAAGCCAAGGTTGTGTTGTCTTGTTTCTGCAGAATTTCTCATTCGAGCTTTCTCCTGTTTATGTATGCTCCTGCAGTTATGCTTACTTTGCAACCAAACACGGTGCGCCACTTATTTTCAAACCTATGATAATTGATCATATTCTGAACCAAAAAGGGTCATGGTTTTAGATCTACACAAATGGTTCACAGTATAAGACTATGCATATGTCACCTGGCTTAGTCTATCCTTTATTGGATTCCTTTCTGTAACAACATCTCACCATGTTAGTGTATGTGAGTAGAAACTATATATCTTGTAATGCATGTGTTTTGAATTCCGTCTCATGGTTTAGTCATGAGGGCTTATTGATTGATGTATAATTAAAGTGTGTTGAATGTCAGATTTCATGGTATTTACATGTTTTTGAAGGGATGATACTTTAAAGTGGTACTGACTAATTAGGTCACTAACCCACTTAATCTTTAATATATTTTTGTTTATTTTAAACCATTAAATATATAGTTTTATAATTTTTATTAAATTGATAATTTTGAAATTTTGAAAAATTACAATTTGTAAATTTGATAATTTTATAGTTTTATAGTATTATTGTTTTATAGTTTTGCAATTTTATAATTTATAATTTTATAATTTTATAATTTTTATAATTTTATAGTTTTATAATTTTATTTATATTTCATAGTTTCATAGTTTTTATAGTTTCATAATTATAGTTTTAATTTTATAGTTTTATATTTTATAGTTTTATAATTTTATACTCTTATAATCTTATACTCTTGTAATCTTATAAGTTTATAACTTTATAATTTTATATTTTTGTAATTTTAATTTGATAATTTGATAACTTGGATAATTTGATGTTGAAAGGGGCTTTCCTAAGTTTGGTAAAGAGTATTTTAAAATCATATACGAAGAATTTAGATGCAAATTTTATGTATAGAAAAGTATAAATTGCACACTAATCATATTTGCATGAATCTCGTCATATTGATCAATTAAAACATATCAGAACATATCCGAAGTAAAAGATGGTTATATGGTATCTTTTAATCAATTAAGATAATAATCTAATCAATTAAAACAAAATATAAGTCTACTCGATTAAGGCTTTACCTAATCGATTAAAAAGCATCAGAATGTCATATCTTTTATATATGAGTAATCAACCTGTTTTCTTTACGAAATAATTGCATTCATTTGGCACACGAAGTTTGAGAAAAAAAACACACCAAAAAGTTGTTCCAAAAATATTCTTGGAGAAAGCAAACATCCTCCTTGAAGAAATTTCAAGAATCTCCAAGGTTGGAAAAGAAGAACAAGATAAAAGAAAAAGAGTTCATTGAATGAAAGTTGGAAAATGAGTTGAGAATTAGTTACATTTGACTAAAGCAAAAAAGAGATTTTTGTTATTAGTTTTATTTGTCTACTCTCCTAGCTTAAGGTACTTTATATCTAGAAAACAAATTTCATTCTTAGCCTACACAATCCAAGTCTTGAAAGTCCTTGTGATGCTAGCTTGCATGTGAGTGTGTTTTATTTTGGTTGAAACGAAGGGCAAAGTTGATTTGTGTGACGTGATGGTAGAGTAAGAACACATCTTATACACTATGAGCTTTGAGTTAAAGGTGAAAAAAGATTTCATGCATTAAAAAAAACATTTTATCATGTCTATTGATCCCTCATAAAGCTTTTGCATTTATCTTGCACTAGTATAGTAAAAGGAAACGACAACGATTATTTTCTTTTATCCGCATCGGCTCCGCAACCGAGATATATACAAACGAGGTAAAAAGTCTACCACTTTTTTCTTCGATTATGAACCGGGCCAGTAGAGGGAGGGATATCCCTCGGTTTGGAATTGAACCGAGGCGGTAAAAGGGTTTTTTTTAATATTTTACGAAAGAATAAAGCGAGATATTAGTCTTTATTAATATATGCATCTGGTGGTCCCATTCATGTTTTTGTATT